TGGCAGTATCTACACTTTTTATAAAACTACAAACTTCTAAGAACTAAATGTAATAAAATATTTTTCACGTATATACATTGTGAAGTACGTACTCCAAAGTTGATTTTTACTTTTAATTAAGTTTAACAATGGACGCTATTTTCATGTTTAAGAATCTCGACAACATCGCCACCTATCGTGCACAGTTAGCTAAGGACCATAGTCTATTCATCCATCCAAGTGTCCTCATAAGTACCCCATAAATATAAAATCTTCAATATCGTTCAAGCTGTTTAGAAGAATTATGAACACACGCGCACCAGAGTTTTATGTATAATGACGAATTTTTGTGTAATTTCTGCAAAAATATATACATACATACACAAACGATATACCAAAGGTATTAGATCCGACAGTTTTATGTATATTTATGTTATTTTCTTATTAAGTGCGAGCAGCTATGCAGGTCTAGGGAAAGAGACCAGTATCACTGGGACCTAGGAGATCTATTGTGATCGCTGCTATGGCTATAGTTCACGGGTAAGCCCTATGTCTTCAATGAATAGGAGTTACTTAGCCGTGAGCAATTTCATTTCTTCTGGGCGGAGTACATAGTTTCCCAGATGAATGTTACGTTTGCGCATTAAGGGTCCGCAATCAGTTACTGTGTGTAGAGGCGTTTCTTCCGTTATGGAACAGAACCGACACATCCTTGAGTTGCTTAGTCCCAGGATGGACATGCGCTTTTTAAGACAACAGTGTCCAGTTAGGGCTCTTGCCAGAATGCGCAATTTATTTTTACTTAATCCCAGGGCTTCTGAAGCGAATTTACGATCAAAAGCCCGGATTAAGCTTTTAGAATGTTTTAAGCCTGGTGTGTCAGACCAGATCTTAAGTGATTTATTGTGATAAAGAGTTTCAAGGGTCAATCGGGCTAGGCTTCTTGGGATTCCACAAAATGGCTCAGGTCCAAATTGTGTGCACTTTGAGCCCTCCCGTGCAAGTTTGTCGGCAAATTCGTTGCCTACAATACCCTCGTGACCCGGAACCCATCTTAAAACGACCCTGTCGTTACATCCCAGGGCGTTTAAACGGTTCATGCAGCCTCCAACTAGCTTCGAGTTCACTAAGTTTGACCTCAGCGCTAGCAGTGCTGCTTGAATATCAGAGTTTATGTAAATTATATGGACATTGATTTCCGCACACCGAAGTATGGCGAAAATTTCTGCCTGGAAGATAGAGGTGTATCTACCCAAATTCATACTAAGTTTGAATTTGGGGCATTCCCCGTAAATTCCAAAGCCTACGTCGAAGCCCATTTTAGACCCATCGGTATACCATATGAGGCTACCGACCTCACAGATAACCTGGCCATTCAGCCAGTCTTCTCTGGAGGGTAATTCCACTATATACTTTTTATCAAAAGTGTGTAGTGGACGCATATCTGAGATCATACATAAGATCGGTGATTCCTTAATTGACGCGAGCATGGATCTCAATCTGTAGGATTGCAAGCTCAGACCGCCCTGGGCGTTAATCCTATACAAACTAGCCCTCGCCTCCTTGTCTAGATAGAGATCAAGGGACCTTAGGCATAGAAGTGCATTAAGAGCCGCTCCAGGCGATGATCGCATAGCTCCAGTTGCCATTAAGCAGGCAGTCCTTTGTAGACTATTTAGTCTGTCCGCAGTCGTCTTTTGGTTGGCCTTGTTACACCAGACAATAGAGGCGTAGGTGAGAATCGGCCTCACTATATATATATCACTATATATATATATATATATGTAGGACCATACTGGGACGCAAGCCCCAGTTGTTCCCGACCAAACGACTACACGTACCTAAAGCAATTTTTGCCTTATGGCATTCGTTGCTAAGGTTAGTTTTTGGTCGATTGTTACGCCCAAGTATTTAACTTCCGTGGAAAATGGTACTTCTTTACCATTAAGTTTTGGTTGGACTAACTTGTCCAACCGTCTTTTTTGGTAAAGGGTATTATAACAGTTTTATCAGCATTAACTGATAAACAGTTATCCCTACACCAGTTATTTATGGTGTTTAGGGCTCTTTGTATTATTGACGATAAAGTACTTTGGCAAAAGCCCCTCGCAATGATCACAAGGTCATCAGCATAACCCAATGTGTCAATGCGTAGGTCTGCCATTTTGTACAATAGTTGTTCAACCGCTAGAGTCCAAAGAAGGGGTGACAAAACACCTCCTTGTGGGCAGTCTCTTGTAGTTGCAACATATACACATATATATACACATATACATGAAAATAAAGATTAATATTATAAAGATATTTCATTACCTATGCTTTGAAGGCCTATTGTCTAAAATCTAAGTGGTTATTTATAGGTTTATGCAGCTGATTGTAATGAAAATGTAATTTTTGAAAACAATTCGTTACATTACCTATAAAAAAGTAATAATTTAAACTATACAAGTTTTTCCTGAGTAACATTTTCTTTATTCAAGTAATAGTGACAAATTGGTGCTAGGTGATAGGATTTATATTCTGCCTTAGTCAGTTTAGACCTCAAGAAAGCTACGAAATCGCTTTATCAAGTCGCTACTGCCGTGTTAGTGACTTCGACACGTTCAAGTAAGGCGCCTACACATTTAAAAAAAATATGATTCGCTGGAAGATAGACGCTCCAGACAGAGTCGAGGTGTGTCGATATTTTGTACCAAATAACTACTGTCGTAATGGCAAGTATTAAAAATTTCCTTACCACGAGCACGTACCGTTGCGCACGCTAAACTCACCTGTTCCATACGAGTAAAGAAACCTGTTCCCAGTATCCTCACCGCAGCGCTCCCCTGGACACAAACCCCGAAGGCGGCGTGTTTACGGATGAATGGACGTTAATACTGTCGGAATGTCTGAAGTTTTGCGAATTTGCGATTAAATATGTTGTCTTTAGTTAATGTAATTGGTTTTATCATTTTAATTAACGTAAAAATAAATAAATGTTGGGCGGCGATGATCTCTCGCGGGGCGGGAATCTCTTAATGCCTGTTAGCTAACGCGTACTGGGAATGCCCTGAGTCCAGCAGTACCTAAGGTGAGGAAAGGCTGGCTTTAATAATAAAACAACAGAATTTTTTAACAGTCACTTTATTTGCTTTTAAATTGAAATGGTTACACGATATTACTATGTGTACCTAATTAAAGTTAATACATACATTTATGACACTTATTTTCTAAGTCAAAACAATTTCTTTATAACAAGCTTAATTTCGTCGACAAATATTTAAAATAAAATCATATGGCACCAAAACGTTCGTAAAGGAACACTACTTAAAGAACTTATTATAACTTATTATATAATACCAAGAACTATATTATTCCTAATAATTATTTTTAAAACTATAACTAAAATTAACGTTAACACTGTCGGACAAAATTATAAATGCAAAAAAATGGCACTTTAATGCAATAGTAGATATAATGTTCTACACATCAAGATAGAAAATATTTTATAGTTTATATTTATTTTAGGGTATCTAATAATCAATATTAATCTAGTAATATTTATTTGTGATAAAATTCGAGATCACACAGATAACTTGAACCCAGATATGAGAGTGCATACAAGTTTTTAATAGTTGAATAAAGTCAGCGGTCCCACTTCTGGACTCCTCTCATTTCTAAAGATGTTGGCAGACTTCACGTTACTTTAAAATATTTTTATTCCTGCAAATGATTGCCTTTTTAATCCAGAAAATTGCAGATTATTCTAATATCGTTAAATCCACAGACAAAGGATTCGGAGTGTCTCATTCCACTCTAACCAGTTTATGTCGACACATAAAGTACGTCCTGTATGTTCCATAGTTTTAGTTCAGTACATTCTTCCATACGTAATATTCAACTAGTGCAATCATAAAATACTTTATTCGAAAGAGTTTGCAGCACTCATACATTGTTTCATGATATGCTGAGCGCTGCCACAGTTGTTTATATGTTCATCCTACAAGAGGATTGACGATAAATTTATTAATGTATATTTTAATAATTATGTCACTTAAGTCAACATTGGAAAAATTCCAACATTTGGGAATGCTTCATATTCGATATTTTAAGTTTCAACCATTTCTGAATGGATATATTTTGTTCAATTACTTTTTCGTTTTAATCTTTTGTAAACTTCTAAACGCCGTTGTTATTTGAAGACGACAGTCGCGGCCATACAACGATTAAGCTAGGGTTGTGCACGAGCAGTATCCTGTATTATCGATAGCAGTATTATCGATAGTTTCGTAGTGGCCTGAAAAATTAATTTATCGATATTGATATTTTATTTGATATCAATATTTACGACAATTTCAATTTGGCGTAAAAATACTGTTACAATTTATTTCATAACAATTTTTTCACATTTTTCAAACAAGTGTTATCGATAGTAGTGTAGCGCATCATTAGGCATTCCACAAGACCAGTAAGTCATATATCATTGTTGCCATCCACACGTTTTATGGCCGCGACAACATTGGCGTCTCCTATGGTTTATTTAATTGTTAGTTTTTTAGTAATTATTTACATTACCACAAACATTACAATAATTTTTATTACTACAGTTAAAACTCCGTTTTGTGCAGCGCAATCCATCCCTTGGCAAACTCTACTCAACTATATTAAACGTTTACTTGTTCAATAGCAAAAAAAAATATATATATATGTATATATATCTTTAATAATAGACTTTTTAAATAAATAAGAAATACTAGCAATGTTAATAAACATTACTAATATTCCCTTTAGCCACTCCTGATAAGCTTAATATGCTTGTGTTAGGAGTGGTTTACAACAGTAGTTGAATAGCGGATTCAAACTCACGACCTTTGAGTCCGTGGTTCATACTCTGCCATTAGGCTACTGTCGCTTCAACAGACAACACATTTAACAACACATTTAAATATTATAAAGATTACACATAGATATACGAATATTTGCCAAAATCCTACATCCACAGGTCAGGGCAAGCCACGGCCTAGAGCGAAACTGTGTGAGATTTAAGCGCTATTTTTCTTCTCGTACTCCAGCAGCTCTCCCAGGTTCCCTATCTCGATCTCCTGGATGTGCTTGCCAGAGAAATGCATGTAGTCGTGAGACGGTTCGTCCGCTGAACGCTTGAGAACTGAAATCACAAAATTCATATTACAATTTGGAATAAAACTAGTTTTTACGGATTCTATCACGTATATTAACTTATTTTGTATTCCCAACATTTCGAATAGTTTATAGCACCCACAATGTTAGCGTCGCAAGCCTAAATTGATATTAACTCTTTAATTTTATGTAGAATGGCTAATCCCTGAACCTTAGACAGTGAATGGGCAAATGATGAATGATTGTAAAGAGGTATGAACGGTTTTTAATTAAATTCATGAGTTACGTAATAATCGATTAAGTAACGCGAGTTGAAAGATTGAACAATTAAAAGGAATTTTTATTATAAAATTAAAAATAATTCAAAAAAAATATTTAAGAGACAAGGATAGCTATTATTAGAGTGAGAGGATGAGAATCTCTTATCAGTCAAATGTCATATGATATAAACAATTGTGCTTAAAACTTTGCTTAAAGATGTGATTAAGATTCTATTTTCTGCATTATACTATTTAATTATTTAAGATGAATAAAGGCAATGATAAACCTGTGTAAATAAAACTGTATTTATTGAGATGAATAAAGGCAATGATAAAACCTGTGTAAATAAAACTGTAGCATTTTAAGTCATAACGAAGTTTAATATTTAAAATTAAATTTTATTTTAAGGTGTAACCACATAGAATAAGTTGTAAATTACGTAGTAATTAATACTTTGTATTTTGTTGTCTTGTAAAAGGTATGTGTTTTATTGTTTTTATTGTGTAATCTTGTTTATACCTTTTGAGAAAACATTATTATTATGTGTATTTTTATGAGAAATAAAGTTATTCTATCAAATAGAGAAATGTGGTAATGAAAATTATATATATGAGTATTTAGTGAGTTATATATATATATATATATATATATATATATATATATATATATATATATATATATATATATATATATGAGGTTTTTGCACACGGCCCACTTTACGGTATAGCCACGAAGTTAACACTAAGGCGATTTATTCGTGATTTTGTAATTGCGACGGTATCACCACCTTGGCTTTAAAGCAGCTGCCCAGAAGGGGAGTTGTGGAGGTGGCTAGACTTTTCAACGGCGTGTTAAGAACTGGCCACTTCCCAACAAACTGGACACAGGGCAAGATTGTCGCGCTACCAAAGCCGAGTAAGGACAGGAGGTACCCGGCTAGCTGCCGTCCCATAACGCTATTACCGCATATAGCTAAACTGTTTGAAAAAAATTACTCTTCACCGATTACTGCCGCACGTTGCTCTGCGGGAGGAACAATTTGGCTTCCGCAGAGCGCAGCCCAACTGGCCCGCGTGCTGCACTATCTTGCGGCCGAGCACAACCGCGGCCGCATTTGTTTGGATATGGAGAAAGCCTTCGACAGGATGTGGCACGCAGGGCTACTCCACAAACTCGTAGAACATACCACTTTACCGCCTATGCTTGTGCGGCTAATAGCGTCGTTCCTGGAGGGGCAGAGCTTCTATGTTAACATCGAGGAGGCTGTCTCGGTAGCACGACTGATTGAAGTGGGAGTGCCGCAGGGCAGCTGCCTATCACCCCACCTGTACGCGGTGTACACTAACGACATGCCCACACTCCAAGGCCGCCTGGAGGAGTGGGAAGACGATGTCGTACTAGCCCTATATGCTGACGACAGTGCGTACTTCACGTCATATCGTCGGGTAGAACTCGCGGCAAGGAAGCTGCAGCGACTGCTGGACTTGATGCCCAATTAGCTGGACAGATGGAGGACGGCGGTCAACGTCGGGAACAAACAACTTAGGTGGAAGGGTACTGTCACCTACCTAGGATGCCAGATACATCGCTCATTGCGAATGACTCCAGTAGTCGACCACGTCGTGGTTCAGGCCAGAGTCGCACGAGCTAAATTCCATCCTATACTGGCATCCACACTCCCACTTAAAACAAATATCACTAGATGGGCAGCAGCGTATTCCTAATAACGACTAAAAATAAACAACTGCGGTTGCCAGTGCGCTTGCCAAGCGTGGCAACTTTAACAAATATCCCCCCTATGAGGCGATCAATAGGGGAGGCCTATGTTCAGCAGTGGACTTTATGTGCTGTAACGGTAAATTCCGTAAAAACCGTGTTGGTGGCGACGTAAGAGGATGCATCCATACCATCTGGATAATAATCGGCGGTCACCACTGTGCGATTTACTAGAAGTTTTATCCCTCGCACAACTTCCATTATTGTGGAACTGACTACCACCTGCGATTTTTCTGGACCGATACGACTTAGCGACCCTCAAGAATAGAGTACTCTCTTTTAAAAGACCAGCAACGTTTCTGCCATTCTTCTTCTGTAAACTTACCACCAGGTGGTACCACTACCCGCATGCTAGTTTGTTCCCTCTTATATAAAAAAAATCTATCACCCCCATTTCGTCCAGTGGGTGTCGTAAGAGATAACTAGGGTGGATGTCAAAAAAAATATGGATATTAACAAGAGCTTCTGTGTGTGTAGCGCATTCACAGCAGCGGTACAGTTTGAAGGATTTAGAAGTCGAGTATAATCACATACAGATTTTAGTACTCAATTAGCTGCAAGTGTCTGTGGACTATATTCATTGTTCATTAATTACAAATCTACGGTTCAACGTAAGCTTCCCCTACATACTGCCTTATAGTTGCCACGTGCAGATTGGCAACCATTTTTAATTATTTTGAGTTGTTATCACCAGTCATACTAAGTTTTACGTGACGTGGTAGAGCAACGCTTCAGCTATATTATAGTTGTAGCACGTATGGGTCGGTTTGACCGAGAAAGGAGCACGCTCTCACAGAATACCTGCGTAAAATAGCAGCTCAATGCAGCTGTGTTTCGTATGGTGAGTGGAGAGAACCGGAGACCCTTTTTACTGGAAATAAGGCGTTCCATCTTGGTCCTCAGGGATAACAACGCATTTTCATTTTGAGCAGTGGAGTGCAGGACAATGGACTCTGCGCGAATAAAAGTACGCGATTAGATGTGGAGGAGTAGAAGCCCGCGAGTAGGATTGCGTGTGTAGAAGTACGCGGGTAACAGTACGCAAGTTGAATTGCTCGAGTAGAAGTGCTCGAGTAGAAGTGCTTGAGTAGAAGTGCGTGAGTAAAAGTGCGCGAGTAGAAGTGCGCCAGTAGAAGTACGCAGCTAGAAGTACGCAGGTAACAGTACGCGAGTAGAAGTGCACAAGTAGAAATGCATGAGTAAAAGTACGCAAATAACAGTACGCGGTTAACAGTGCGCGAGTAGAAATGCGTGAGTATATGTACGTGGAAAACAGCCGCATAGTGTTACCCGCGTTTTTTATAGGATAGGATGACAAACGAGCACACAGTCCACCTGATGGTAAGTGGTTGCTGTGGCCCATAGACATCTACATCTATCCTCGATTACGAATCAAAATGCAGATGTGTTATCATCCGTGAGAACTTAAAGTAAAAAGCGTCTCCGGTTCTCTACACTCACCATACGAAACACAGCAGCATTAAGCCACTATTTGACGCTGGTATTCTGTGAGAGCATGGTCCTTCCCCGGTCGCATTCCCATTCCAACCCATTTGTGCTACAAATATACTACTAATATAACTGCAGAATGGCTCTACCACGTAAAAGTACATTTCTACTTCTATTATCGAGTAAAAGTAAAAACGCGTGAGTAGAAATACGCGGTTTGAAATACGCGTAGAAGTACGCGGGTACGGCTTGCTAATGCACGGCAGGCACAGTGCGAGGATTCGGACACAGCGCAGGGGAGTGGCACCGGAAAAGGGCGGGTAAAGTACGGAGGGTGCAGGTACCAGGGCGCACGGTACGGCTCAGGCGGTAGGTGGGACGCGAGCGGCACAACGGCATGGCCGGCTCCCGCACGGCGGGTAGTGCGAGGGGTGTGGGTACAGTGCAGTGGGTGCGGGTACAGTGTGGGGGTGCGGGTACAGTGCGGGAGGTGCAGATACCGGGGCGCGCAGTGCGGCTCAGGCGGTAGGTGGGACGCGAGCGGCACAACGGCATGGCCGGCTCTCGCACGGCGGGCAGTGCGAGGGGTGTGGGTACAGTGCAGTGGGTGCGGGTACAGTGCGGGGGTGCGGGTACAGTGCGGGAGGTGCAGATACCGGGGCGCGCGGTGCGGCTCAGGCGATAGGTGGGACGCGAGCAGCACAACGGCATGGCCGGCTCTCGCACGGCGGGCAGTGCGAGGGGTGTGGGTACAGTGCAGTGGGTGCGGGTACAGTGCAGTGGGTGCGGGTACAGTGCGGGGGTGCGGGTACAGTGCGGGAGGTGCAGCTACCGGGGCGCGCGGTGCGGCTCAGGCGGTAGGTGGGACGCGAGCGGCACAGCGGCAAGGCCGGCCCGCGCATGGTGGGCAATGCGGAGGGTGTGGTTACAGTGCGGGGGATGCGGGTACAGGGCGGGGGGTGCAGGTACCGATGCGCGTGGTGCGGCTCAGGCGGTAGGTGGGACGCGAGCGGCACAGCGGCAAGGCCGGCCCGCGCATGGTGGGCAGTGCGGAGGATGTGGTTACAGTGCGGGGGGTGCAGGTACCGATGCGCGTGGTGCGGCTCAGGCGGTAGGTGGGACGCGAGCGGCACAGCAGCAAGGCCGGCCCGCGCATGGTGGGCAATGCGGAGGGTGTGGTTACAGTGCGGGGGATGCGGGTTACAGTGCGGGGGATGCGGGTACAGTGCGGGGGGTGCAGATACCGATGCGCGTGGTGCGGCTCAGGCGGTAGGTGGGACGCGAGCGGCACAGCGGCAAGGTCGGCTCGCGCACTGCGGGCAGCACGGCGCGCAGAGAGGTGTGCACGCGCGTCACGTCGAACCCGTGCCCGCGCTCGATGTTCAGCACGAACGCATCCGGCATCATCACCAGCTCCCGGTCCAGCTCCATTATGAAGCAGCGCTCCTCGTCGACGATGCCTGTAAAAGTAATCAATAATCCATAATATTTCTGTGTAGTAGCAGTGTAAGAATATCCATAACACCTTATCATCCTATGGGTGTCGTAAGGGGCCACATCATTTATCAATTCCACTACTAAACATAGGCCTCCCCCAAATAATACCACAGTGCACGGTCCTGAGGCACCTCTGTTGTAAACCAAATATATTATAAACACTATTGGCGCCATCTACCCTTACCATTTGTAAAGCGCCATCTATGGCTCCTCTTTACTTTCATAAACTACTTACCTAACTGGAACAAACAGTTCACATAGAGAACCATAGATGGCGCTACATCCGTGCTGTTTACTTTAGCGACACGGAAAGGCGGCCATTACATTACATTATCACATTACAATTAAAAAGGTTGTTACAAAGGTGCGCGAGAGCAAATACACTTACCAAACCAAAACGTCTCCAGTGTTTCCTTCATAACAAAGTACCACACAACCTCCATCCATCGATTTGCTGTGTCTTATCAGATGGTCACTCCATCTAGTGGGTATCATCTCCCTACAATTTTCCTACCAGTACGAGGCTGTCATTCGAGAACGTTCCATCTCCATCGGTTTTTCTTTCAGCTATATGGGCAGGCCCATTGCCACTTTAGTTTACTAATCCGTTGGTTCTACTGCGGATATCTACCCTTCCAAGTTTACCACGCATAGAAACCCCGAGCATAACCCTCTCCATAGATCGCTGAGCGACTTTAAGCTTCCTCATACACACGTACAATCCTGTTTTCAAGTGTTGAGGTATACCTAACGAGAAGATGTGTGTCGTAATCTCCCGAACGCTGCCCAGATGACCTCCCCTCGTACGCTAAATATACACTTCTTGCAAGTATTGCCTGCCATGTCAATTTAAGGAAAAACTTTAATTAGCATTAGACCACCTAGTATTAAATATTATTGTAATTAATGTTTGTAAGAATATGATATATATTTGGTAGAGCCATGCTGCAGCTATATTATAGTTGTAGCACGAATGGATCGGCTCGACCGGACCGGGGCAGGACCACGCTCTCACAGAATACCAGTGTAAAATAGCAGCGTAAAATTGCTGTATTTCGTATGGCGAGTGTAGAGAAGCGGAAAACCTTTTTACTAAAAACGAGGCATTCCATCTTAGTCCTCAGGGGTGACAACGCATTTGCATTTTGATCCTTAATTGAGAATAAATGTGGATGTCTATGAGCCATAGCATCCACTTACCATCAGGTGGTTACTGTATACTCGTTTGTCACCCAATGCTATAAAAAATGATGTAGCTTTTCCTAAAATAACTATAGTCTTTGCGTTTTAGCATGGTGCGAATGACAGCTCACGCCTATGAAGTTTCGTATTTTTTATATAAACTGTCATACAGATATTGTTGTTCTTCATGGATGGGTACCGCCCACTTATGAGAGTGATGTGGCACGCTAAACTATGCCATTCAATAAGGAACAACCACAGAATATCAAGAATCGATTTTGAAATAAATCGAATATATACACATTACGTAAATATTTATTGAAATTGTAACTAATCGTTCAACAATTTTTGATTTAAAGAAAAAAATGTACATAGACGAATATGCAGTGTTTCCAATACATGGATGATAAATTATTCGTTGGTCAGCTCAGACAAAAAAATAATTAAAAATGTGTCAAAAAGACTTGGCTACAAAAACCTATTTTGTATTTTTATTAATTACATTAGATTTGAAAACCAAATTCTCGATAATTTTTACCTTCCGTCCCGATGTGTAGGGACCTGGCAACACTAAATACACATATAGAGAAAGGCGCTAGTACTACGCGTACTTCGTACCTTGAAAATATGCGTACCTTGAAAAGATACCGGTGAAGTCAACGCCGTACTGAAAATTACAGATGCTGGCAGCCATTTTATTTGTTTAAATGTTAATATGAATGTTGCAATTAACATGAAATATAAGATGATTTTTATTTTCAAAATAATACATAATATCTATTGTTGTACATTAAAGTGTCTGTTTGTAATTTCCAAATACCAACCTTTGACTAAATGCATATGAAAATTTATACCGTATTTATAACAAAAGACAAACACAATTTTAAAATAAATTGTCTGTGTGTCTGTTTGTTCCAGCTTATAGTTGACACTAGCAGATAGCTGAGGTTATAAGGAGTAACATATGCTTCTTTTATTTTAGAAAATGAATTAGGATTCCGCGCAAAAGAATATTAAAACCTATAAAATCCAATTGTAATAAACATCACGCGAGCGAGGTCGCGGAAACAGCTATTATGTAACTATTATGTCATAACTTATATAAACTTTAACTTAATTTTAAATGCATTGTAGTTTATAAATAAATATGTTTCGGTTTTAATTTTTATATCGATAGCTAATCGATAACTTTTGCTTTGCTTTGTGTATCGTTAATTGCCTTTTTTAAATCAATTTAACATTGTTCCATCTCTAAACACGCCTAACTGTAAGCTGTCACCCGCACCGTGCTATAACGCAAAGACCATGGAGGTTAGGGAACAGGAAAACGATCGCTACGTACTAAAGCATAGCCCGCCTGTCCTTGAAAATTGTAGAATTTATAGCGGCGCTACCGTCGGTTAGTGGCTGCGAAGTTAGCTGTTTATGAGTACAAGTAGATGAAGTTAGTTGAATAATGTACAAATTTTCTTCGCGGCATTAGTGAGAAAATTTTCATGCTCCGTTATTTTTTAATTTTTGACAAAAAGAAACATTAAAAAATGGATAAATATTTTATTGTGCGTGGATATGCAAGTGGTTTAGCATCTGATCGGAAAAATAGACTGAAAATGACTTTTATTGAGCAAACTTAGCGATCGTAGCGCCTTACTTATGGTGTCCATATTTCTGGGACACTATTTTCTACGGCGATCGTTCTCCTGTTCTCTAACCTCCATTGCAAAGACTATAAATAACATTCGACGGCTCCGTGGCGCAATGCCTTAGCAATGAGTTGCAGTGCTAAAAGCCGCCGGTTTCAATCCCACATGGGACAAGTATTTATACGGCCTACAAATAATTGTTCCGGGATGGATGTTTGTCCTTGTGAAATTTATTTTACAGGAGAAAATCCTAGTGTAGTTAAGTTACAGAAGAAAGCAACCAAATAATCCATAACACTTACTGGTTATGTTAGTAGTGAAATCGTGGATAAAGTTGACTTGTTGTCCGTTGTTAAGAACAGATATCTTTTCAATCATGCCATCTATATCCAGTTCCTCTCGCAGCATATTAACAAAGTTCTCAGTGGCGCCGTCGTCAGCGGTGCTGATAATTTGTACATCTGGCTCGGAGGACCAACGTAGCGGCACCACTTGAGAATTCGGATCAGTCTTAAGCGCTTCCAGCTCCTGAAATATTTGACATGATTGTTGAGTTAGTGACAAACAAGATTTGATTCAGTGGCTTGTATACACATTAAAAAAGTTTGCGATGTGATTGAAAAATCGAAATCTTCTTTATTACGGTAGACTATTAATAATTTCTTGCAGTTTTTAGATTCTTTACTTAAAAATAAAGAATTAGAACATAAAACCATAAAACAAATTCAATTGTTTTCTATATAAAAAAATTGGTTGACCCCGCAGGCCATTCCTGGAAATCTCGTCTCGAAAAATCACTCTAAATTTCACCAAGTTGTGACGTTGAATATGAAATATCGGAGTAAATTAAAATATTTTTTCTTTAACGATATCTCAGAAATGAATCAACCAATTTTGATCGGACTGGCGGCGTACACTGGTTTTTTAAGGTTAAAAGCTGATTAGTTTTTGGTATCGATCGGTAAAGCCGTTAGAAGTTATTCCAAAAAACAGTTTTTCAATATTTTTATTTTTGAGATTTCCCAAAATCTACCGGTCCGAACTAGTTAAAATTCATAGAAAATTTAAGTTTGATTAAACACTTTGGAAATCCGCTTGGTTCATTTCAATCGGTCAAGCCGTTCAAAAGTTATGAGGTTTACATACATACACAGAGAAAGCACCAGAAGGATGGACTTCACTTTGCCTATTATGCCTAAACTGGAGATTTTGAAACACTGTCCTTGTCATTAGGCAGTTTTACTTTTTAACAAGATGCCTAAAAAACTAAAAGAAACGAAAAAGTTAAGTGTTTTTAAAACAGAGTTGAAGGCACTACATAAAGAGACATGTATTTATAATATTGATGAATTTTAACTGTAAAGTAGTTAAAATATATAAAATGATGAGAAATTATAATTATTATAATTATATTAATAGTTAAAAGGACCTCGCTCGCGCAGAATACCAACGTAAAATAGCAGCTTAATGTTTCGTAAGGTGAATGTAGTTAACCAGAGACCCTCTTTACTGGAAACGAGGCATTCTTCCTTAGTCTGATGTCGTGATCTGTACTTTGATTCGTAATTTAGGATAGATGTAAATGCCTATGGGCCACAGAAACCACTTAAAACAAAACACAGAAAACACTATCAGGTGAACTGTGTGCTCGTTTGTCACCCCTATCCTATAAAAAACTGTTTCTATAGTATTAGATAAATACACAAAGCAAAGTCTCACTGGTTTGTTTCTTAACGTTTTTCATCTTTTTTTACTTTTTTTAATTTTTGTACTTTTAAAAATATCTGTATTATGATTTATTCATTTCTTATCTAATTAATATAAAAGCTTACTATTATTACTAAAAGAAACAATAACCCTTACGTTTTCCTAACAAATTAACTTCCCCGACACGTAACTTTCAAAAAAAGTTGTGGATGCCCTCACAAAATAATTTCAAGACTATATCAATTACAAACACAGTGAGAAGTTTGAATGGAAATTCTATAGTTACTATAGTAGAACCATATTAAGTGTATGATTGGAGAATTTAATAATCGAATGAGTGACATTCGGACGTCATCGCTTAAGTGGCGTGGGGTACAGGGGTCCTGAATCAAGTCTTAAATGACCCGACGCAGCAATGGACTGGAATTAGATTGGCGTAAAAATATTTGCCTACGTTTACAACAACGTTATATGATTTATTTTATCATATTGGAAAACTTACAGCTAAAAACATCAAGTAATACATACGCCAGGCCAAGATTTCACAGATAGAATTAACAGTAAACATATAACAAGTTGATTTAAAATAATAATAACCTCTATTATTATTATTTTACATATCTAGTTACAGAAACTTTTAGAAAGAATTTCTTTATTTTACAAACATTGGGGTTAAATAAAACTATGTCTAATTGTTGTGCCATAGTTTTAAAACTTCTGCACGCCCTTATTAAAATGAGTTTTGTCGAGATAGTTTTATTTAAAGGGACGTGCTTGTTAACGATATACTAATGGAAATAATGCAGTAAACAGAATATAGTCATCGTAATTAAGTTAAAAGTTAAAGTTACAGCCTATATACGTCCCACAGCTGGGCACAGGCTTCCTCTCATTTCTGAGGGTTTAGGGCAAAGAAATGCCCGCCGCGCTGCCCCAATGCGTGTTGGTCAACTTCACATGTCTTCAAAATATTTTTTTTCTTATTTCTCAAACAGCAAGATTACTCGCGATGTTTTCCTTTGCCGCCGCGCACGTGGCAAATCAGCGCTTAAAATTGCAATTAACAATTTCATTAGTTCCGGCGGTGATTGAGCGCTTAGACCCTGAGCTACCATGTAACGTAATAAAATGTAAATTTTTTTTATTGTCATTTTATACCATCTTGTTTGGTGTTTTTTATTTTTTTATTTTAGGTTATATTCCTGATACATTGTAATTTATCTTACAAAAACCACCTTTTCCGATGTTTTTCAGCAATTTTACTTTAAGCAGTATTTATAGGAGTGGCCGCTATTTGCAACAGTAGACTTTTAATGGGCTGCCATGGTAAGCTCGATAAAAGGCAGTTATACCAATATTAGAGAGATACATTTTAATTTTATTCATATGTAAAATGTATAGAATATTATATAATATTTTTCCAATGGATGTTGTATATCCTCTTATAACAGTTTGCATCTTCTTTCCATGTGTGTGTGACTGAACTCCTCCTAAACGGCCGGACCGATTTTGATGAAATTTTGTGTGTGTGATTAAGTTGATACGAGAATGGTTTAGATTCACAATCGGACCCGGTAGGTGGCGCTGTTGCCGATATCCAGAAATCACCCGTGCGATGCCGGGGCGGATCACTAGTCTATGTGTATAAATTAAACTTGTAACAACCTAGACAAAGGGTGCGTTTGGCAGAAAAAAAGCGCTAGCAAGCGCTTGTAAGCAAAATGCGAAACTAAACAGTTTTCGGCCAGGACACGTTTGCTACCTTCAGTAGCGCTGACACAATCCGCCATTTTGCTTATTTACTTTGTTTGTTTTGAAGTAGAGTTTATAAGTTGTTTTGTGCAATATTAGTTTCAAGTAATATAATGACGTAAATAAACATATTATACATGTTATTAAAAATTCATGATTGGTAAGTTTTTAATATGAATACTTTACAAACATATATTTAAATTAGGTTAGGTTCCCCGGTTAAAGCTAACTTCGTGTCCTAGAGCAAAATAGCTACTTACGATTTGACAGCGCTTACCGCTTACGATCGCCATTTTGCCTACAAGCTCTTCCTAGCGCTTTTTTCTGCCAAACGCAGCCATTGCCTGATGATTTTTTTTAATTTTTTTTTAAATAAGTCCTGCAGTTTTAAAGATAACATACCTAATAAATCTTTCAACGCAAGCTTTAAATATTTACCAAAAATTCAAGTAATATAAATCATAATTCATCTTTCTAACCTTGATATCCATAGGGATGGCACAGTAAGCCTGATAGCGATTCCCAGTATGAAACTGAGTTAACCGGATGTATAATAACGTAACCATACAAACTAACAGCAAGAACAACAGTGCTAGGTTTATCAAGTAAAAGAACAATCTCATTGTTTGCCGCAGAGGTGAAGGCGCTGGACGCCGACGCGGCAGTGCCGGCGGCGGCAGTGCCGGCGTCGGCACTGCTATCTTCGCCTGCAAACAAAATTTCATATTATGCTTGTTACAGACAGGCAGTGATCAAAAAATAAAAATAATATTTATTATTATGTATTAATATAAATAATATTCATTATTATGTATTTATTGCATGTAGAGTAGACATGCGCGCCGCGCCGACAAATCCGATCGGCGCGCAGAGATCGAGCGTGGACAGGGCTGCGCGCGCCCGCATGATCAATGATTGCCATTTGACCATAGAGTAGAGTAATATATACAGAAAAAATTTGACATTTCATTACTTCGATCCATGTCCATGTTCCTGTATATATTACTCTACTCTATGCTTCGATCTCATGGGTGCGCACGTGCGGTCAGTTAGGTAGTTTGCTTTGGCCGGTAATCGATCTAATAATTGGTATTTGTACCTATTCGGTAGTGTATTTTATTAGTGCGCAGCGGAGCACAGGCACAGATAAAATGGCGACAATTATGAAAGCGAAAATTAAACAGTTTTCAATATTTGTGCTACACGACGCCAACACTAAGACAAGTTTTTGTTGGCGGCATTTTGGTGATCTGGTTATCGAAAAGGATTATAAAAAGAAGAAAGTGTGCAATAATTAAGTGTTCTGCAATGCATGCTTGACTGCAGCCCAAAAAGATAACGATGAAATATCATTTGGATTGCAAGTATCTTACTTAGGTACCTATACCTTATCTATATTTTTAACAGGTTACAAAAACTATTTATTGACTGCATTTTAATTTTTTGTTTTTCATATTTCATTTTTGGGCATCGAAACGTCGTCGTCGTCATGAGAAAAAGCAAGAACTTTGCAAAGAAAAATAAAACGTTTGATTATTATGTAACAAACAATATAGTACATGTATGTCAGATATGAATTAACCTACTTATAAATAATCTAACTAGCTTAGCTAACTTAAATGGAGTGTCTGTTTTTTATAAATAACTTCTAATTATATGTACGTTGTAGCTAAAGAGCCGTGGTAGCTCAGTGGTTAACGCTCGCTGTAAATATAACAGAACGCGAGTAACCCGGGTTCGATCTCCGCCGGCACCAATGAAATTGTTAAATGCAATTTTAAGTGCTGATTTACCACGTGCTCGGCGGTGAAGGAAAACATCGTGAGGAAACCTGCATGTCTGAGGAATAAGAAAAAAAATATTTCGAAGACATGTGAAGTTCGTCAACACGCATTTGGGCAGCGCGGCGGACACTTCCTTGCCCTAAACCCTCTCAGAAATGAGGGGAGGCCTGAGCCCAGCAGTGGGACGTATATAGGCTGTAACTTTACTTTACTTTTTATATGTACGTTATTTATAATTTAAAACGTATGTACATATTTTATTGTGTTTAATGGCTGCAGTTGGTTATGGTGAATAAACATAAAATCCTTGTTTACTTTCTTCGATAAATAAAAACTGCATCTGCGTTGGCATCATATTTTAATAAAATTTCGTTTTATTTGTGTGCTATAGTATGTTTTTATGGGTCTGGTTGGTTCGTGTTTCAAAATATAACTTTGCATGTAATAAAATCTTACGTCAAAACTGTCAGCACAGGAAATCATAACAAACATTTACGAGATGTCCATGACTTAAAAGAAGAAAGTTCTCATAAAGCCCATCGATCACTAATAAAGAACTAGATGCACAATCCCATACAAAAGTTCTCTGAAAACTGTCCCCAATTGTTGTGACGTAACTCTAGTTGAAATAAATATACATTTATGTAAATTCAACCTTAAATACATTGCCTATAGTTGTATTCACAAAGATACGTACGAAAAGCAATAATTTTTTATGACTGATACTGGCTGGTCAACCTATATCAAAACAAATTCAACCTTACACGCGTGTTTTAAAGTCAGAATTACAAAGTGCTAGTAAAAATGAATCAAATATTACGACCGAAGCTCGTAGTTTAGACAAGGAACCATTGGAGTCGAACTGCCCAATATTTTTTGTTACCGTTATATTAATTTTAAAATGTTTCAAACGTGTTTTAAAAACTGGTGTACATAAAGCATATTCTGTTCTATTCTATGATGTATTATGTGTAATGGTTATAATTTACCTGAATGTAAATACGTTTTTGGATAGGACACCACATTCATTTAGTAACGAAAGTAATTGAAACAGTCATAATTATTTATTTATTCTTCATCTTGTGTCAAAATATTTAAAAATATTGCTTGATAAAAAACTTAAATCTAAATTCAATAGTTACTAAATATAAAAAGTATGTACAGAAATTTGTAAGTCGTAGTCACATATTCATCACTTTCTAAAACATGCTTCGAACATACAACGCTTCCTTGGGTCGGCTTGAAGAATTCTTCGGACCTTTGATATGCTATGACTGATATCCATTCTGCACACCTAACTGGATCTCGAGGAAAGCTGAAAAATTAAAAATAAAATCTCACATCTTTAATTTTACTACATGCACAATCAGTTTCTACTATTGCACATATTCAGAATTAAATCTTTAATATGTTACTATAATTTTTGGAGAAACTATAAAGAAGTCTCATTAAACAAAAAATAATAATCATACTTTAATAATAAAAAAATAATAACGTCTCCAACAAATGGAACAGAGTCAACGAACAATTATGACTTATTTTATTAAGACTTAATTTAAAAAATGTTTTACGGAGATTTCTTGACAAAATATAAGTATTTACAATACAGTGATAACAATTAAATAATGATAATATTAATACGTACCGAAATTAGGAAATTCCATCCTTTTTTAGCGTCCTGGATGTGTGATTTTTACACTTTTTAAACGAGCACTGAGGCATGTTTACCGTCGGAGTGTTCGAATGTAACTAGATTAAAAGCGCACCCAAATGTTCGAACACTGCTCTCGATGACGTCTATGAAAGTACGCTGGACAATGTGAACTGGTGGTTGCACATGCAGCTATTAAATTTGATATATGGTCTGATCATCATAGACATCTAAACTACATAACGTTCACTCTTCGTTATTTAACCACTGGTAAGTAACCTTTACAAACATTTGTCATTAATAATAATAATATTATTTTGACTGACAACTTATTTTATGTTACCTATGTTGCAGATTTTGAGCTCAAATCATTCACGTTGTGCACGAAGCTTATCGAGGGCAAAAAAACTGGCGAGAAAATACAAGCGATATTAAATGACACAAAAGAATGCTTTGATCTTCAAGAAAAAGTACTTCACTCTGTGACGGATGCCGGGTCATATGTTAAACGCGTCATTTCACTTGCCGCTCTGGACAGCCACTTGTGCTTAAGGCATGGACTGCACAACCTGGTGACTGTTGATGTTATTGGCAGTGTTCCTGAATTAGAAAACCTAATAAAAAAATGTAAAAAGATCGTAAAAACCGTTCGGTATCGCTTACCGGAATTGGAGCAAGCGACGGAAAAAGAACAAATGCTTGTTTTACAGTCTCTGGAGCGCGTATCAGAACATTTGGAGATGGACGAGAATGAACCAATTATTGATGATGAGGGGTCAGAATCAAATTCAGTTTCAGGACTACAAACAAACGATGAATTTTGTAACATTTAATCATGTACCAAGTATCAAAACCTCTTCGCCAACCCGCTGGCATAGTACGCTAGCTATGCTAGAAAGTCTATCACACTTTTGCAACAGGAATCCTGTTTATCATATGTTGTCACATATCAGTCAACAAATTTTTAGTAGGTAGGTTTAAAATTTTACCAGCAAGAGTGGAACTTGTTAGAAGATCTTATTAAATTTTTACGTAAATTCCGTGAGGTCGTGGAAATGCTATCGACATAAAAGACAGCTTCTCTTAATTTGACCCTGGTGCTTCATTTGGAAATTAGAGATATCCTCAATTCTTTGTCTGACGAAGAAACACTAATAATGCTAACACTGAAAAATAAAATGTTAGTAAAATTAGACAAAAGATTCCCAATTACTGATAAAATTGTAGTTGCGGCACTGTTGGATCCTTGGTTCATAAATTTAAGTCGGATTGATTCGTACCTCGAACAAAAGAATATTACTCGTGCCGCATTTCTAGCAGATTACATAAAAAGACAGGTCAATATTTCAGGTGAATCCACGACGATGGCCACATTAGCTCCTGCTGTTATTGCTAGTTCTTCCAATGAATCTGTTTTGTCAAAGTTTTCGAAAAAACACAGCTGCAATGGCACCTCCTCTATTTTAACTTATACTGAGTATAATGAAGCCGATCAAGAATGCTGGAGGTACTTGGCAGCTGCTAATGCTTGTGAAGTTAAAGACGACATTTTAAATTATTAGAAAAATAAGAAAAAAACATTTCCGCTCTTGAGCGAACTTGCGAGGATAATCCTGGCAATTCCTGCTACCAGTACGCCAAGCGAGCGCGTTTTTTCTATAGCGAGAGTAACTGTGACCGCTAAAAAATCTAGACTTTTTTTATAGAAGAGGGGGGGTGGGCAAACGAGCATGCGGCTCACCTGATGTTAAGTGACTACCGTTGCCCATGATCAACCGCAACACCAGGGGAATTGCAGGTGCGTTACCGGCCCTTTAGAAAGGAGTAAGCTCTTTTCTTGAAAGGTCCCCAGGTTATATCGGTCCGGAAAAATCGCCGGTGGTAAACTATTTCACAGAGAGGTCGTACGCGTAAGAAAACTACTTGTGAAACGTACAGTGGTGGACCGCCAATCATCCAGATGGTGTGGATGGTATCGGGACGTTTGCCGCGTAGTGCGTTCACGAAATTTGGCGGCTGGGATTAATCCGAACAATTCCTCAGAGCACTCCCCATGGTATATGCGAAAGAAAATGCAAAGAGATGCAATATCTCTTCGCAGCGCCAGTGAATCGAGCCGATCGGAAAGTACTCGGTCGTCGACGATTCGAGCCGCTCTGCGCTGGATGCGGTCAAGTGGAAGGAGCTGGTATTGGGGAGCCCCAGCCCAGAGGTTGGAACAGTATTCCATGTGCGGCCGAACCTGCGCCTTGTAAAGTTGCAGGCAGTGTGCCGGCATGAAATACTGTCCCGCTCTGCTGAGCACGCCAAGCTTTTTAGAGGCCAATTTGGCCTTCTCTTCCAAGTGACCACGGAACTGCACGTCACTAGATTTGTCGACGCCGAGGATTCCGATACTGGCTGAGGCAACAAGGGGAGTGCCCTGAAACTGAGGACAAAGGGGTTCTTTTTAGCGGTTAACGCGCAAACTTGTGTCTTCTGGGGGTTAAACTGGACTAGATTTAGTCGACCCCAATCCGAGACTATGTGCAGCAGACTCGAGTTCAGAAACAAGTTTGTCCCGGTACTCGGAGACGATTTCCCGAGAAATATTGGCACGACCGGTGTAAAGAGCATCCCCAGTACTGTCATCTGCATAGCAATGAATGTTACGGGTTTGCAACATATCATTGATATGCAGAAGAAACAACTAGACTAAACCCAGTACGAGTTAATACAATTATTTTTATTCATAATTTACTTAAATTTTATGCAAAAAAAACACACAATATTTTATTAATTTATTAATTCTTACAATTTGTGCAAAAAACGAAAAAGATGAGCCTTTTTGTTTTGCGTAAAAAAATATAAGGTATAATTAATTAGAACTTGTTTGGTTTATTTTTATTTTGAGAAATTAAATTTGTATTCCTATCCAGGTCTATGTTTCACTTGTTACTTACTACCTTATTTTAATTGGATGTTTACGAAATATTTAAAAAATACAGCCACGCCGGCGCTACGTTGGGTCGGCGCGCCGCCCCCGCCAAATTCTTGCTCGGCACGCATGTCTAATGTAGACAATTACAACGGAACTTCTGAAAGCGGGTGGAAAACCGGTATTTGAAGTTCTTCAGTAGCTCTTTAATTCCGTCCTCCATGGTGGCACTACTCCGGAGGCGTGGAGCAAAACTTCGGTGGTCTTGTTCTTCAAGAAACTAGATTGATTTCCCTTTTGAGACGCATCTACGTTTTTGAGAGTCATTACGAATCGTCTCACAAGCGGGCTCCACGACTTGCAGCCTTCCAAACAAGCTGGTTTCCGAAAAGGTTTTAACCTTTTGTACTTAAGTACAACATACAAACTCTTCGGCAAATTGTACAAAAGACCGAGGAGTACAATATAATCACTTACACAATAAAAATGCACTGTCTTGCGTAAGTGGACTATGATAAGCCTTCGATTCTGTTGAAATTCGGGTGGTGCTGCAATCCCTTCAGCGGTGCCAAGTTGACTGTCGGTATATCGAAGTGCTGAAGTGTTTGTACAGTAGAGCTACGATGGCTATCCGAGTACAGAGCCTGAGTAGAAAATCTGAGTATATGTAAGACAGAGCGTATCCCCGAAACTTCACTACTGCATTGGAGTGCAGAGTGACCGACACAGCCCAACTGATTAGTGCTAGAAGAACTGACAACCGATGAGGAAAATAAGTTTTCGAGTGGCAGCCCTGTGCCGGTAGGCGAAGTGTAGAGCGCCCCCCCCCCCCTCACACTAGAAGAAGTGACGACCTGATAAGATATGGAGGAAGTCGATGGATGCAGGTGGCTCAGAAGCGTGCTTTGTAGCACTCCTTGAAGGATGCCTATGTTCAGCAGTCGATTTGTAAAGAGCTGAAATGATAATGATGATATGATGATGATTATTTAGTAATAGGCGAGCAGCTTATAGCTGATATGCCTATATCTGTGTTGCTGTTTTACAATAGTTCAAGCCCACACCAAGAACTACACTAAATTGGATTGTGTTTGCACCATTTGTCCACTCTGTTTTAAAACTAATCACAGAGAGAGCAACCACATCTTGAGGCAACTTGTTTCAAATGTTTAGGATGAAAAGGATAGTTGAAGGAAGTAGAGGTAATTAATCTTCATTCAAGGCTAGTCAGCCTTTGTGGCTTTTCTTTGTACAATAACGATGGAATATCACGGAATCAAAGTGCTAGACAAATTTGGTGGGGCTAAATATCAGATATATGTTATTTTTAAATGGCAATGAAATCCTCTAAAATATAAATCGGGAGTTGGCAACCTTACCTGCAACCAACTTAATACAAATACAAAAAAGGCTACAGATGTGTTGTTACTCCAGAGGATGAAAGATGGAATGTCCCACAGCCTGTAATTATACTGGATCTCTATAACCTGGACATTGAACCATAACAGAGCAAATCAAAAAACTGCTATGTGTCAATTATAAAAGTTATACAAACAAATAGACTTGTTTCCATAGATAGAATCTCTAATAATTCGTACAAATAGGTATGCAATATTAAAATAAACTTTTATATTTTAAAAAAATACTGGCTGTTTTTTTTTCTTGCAAGTTTACAGAACAAAGGTATTTTCCTAAACAGTAGTAAGTAAAAACATTGATGTTCAATAAATAATAATCTATATTAAATAGCTATTATTATGTAATGTACATTAAATAATTGATATTCTGTTTTATTATACAATTTATTCAATTACATAATATGATGCGTGGATCAGTTACTGGCTCCTGATAGTGAACATTAAACCAACTGTACATCTAGATTTGCATCACCTCTCCTGCAGTCACATCTTATTGTAACAGACCTAAAACATTTGCTGCACAAAGAAGATCTTGTGCCCATAATTTGTTTCTCCGGTTAAAACAAATTGACAGTCATTTGTAGGGTGGCAAAATTGAATGCCAAAAGGTTTGAAAATAAGAAAATGCTACTTATAATTTATAGTTATCTGTATCCATATTTTTAAGCGGGTTAGTTGTATGGAAACAGCAGTATGTTCAAATTGAATACATTCAAAAGATTAATAATAGTACTATAGAATAAATATTATTTCAAGAATAAATCACAGTATAGGTTTCTAAGCACTCATCATAGCATGTACACATCGTGTACATCAACATTTTTAAAGAGGAGGAAACTATACTTTATAAATAAAATAATATAAACTGCAGCCTCACTTTCTTTGTGAATGATTATAATGTGTAAAAAAGATATTTTATACTAAACAAAGAATCAAAAACTTTAAATAAGGAGATTGAAACGTCTACTATAAATAATATCTAACTAATAAATAAGGATCCTATGATATAATTTAGGTCAGTCATTGTTATCTAATGATCTAACTTTATTGATTTTTTGGCTGCAACAAAACGCCCAATAAGAAATAAGCATACTAATACTTGTGGATTTCGAAATTCATATTCATAATGAACAATAAAAATCTATGGAAAGTACTGAATTATAATAATAATTTCAGCAAAATTTACAAAATAAACAAATAATATTTTTGCGCAGTATTATATTATTTACCTCAGGACATACAGTTCCCTCAACTAATGGTGTTTTAGAGCTTTCGGCTTTATTGGCGATAATACTCGGCTTTGTAAACACAGTCATCTTCGATAAGCACTTCAACTTCCACAAAAGATGGGTACAATTTGTGGATACAATAATCACAAAGTTAATAGACTATTTTTAAGCACCTCTATCGATCGATCTAGGGACTGCACCCTGCACTGCACTAAAATTAAAATGAAGTTAGCAATGTTTGTTATCAAGGACAAGGACACATGTTTATGTGATGGTTGAATTGGAGACCAATCATCGTCCCGTAGATTGAGAATCGTCCAATGAGTAACTTATTACTCTCTGGATCCAACCTAGTCCAATCTCCAATCGATTGAACTTCATATAACTTCACTTCTGTGCAGTATTGCCAGGTCAGATAATCGAATATATATAATATAAATACCGTGCTGTCCACATAAAAACACCACTGACCTTCATATATACAATTACAAGTACATTGCACTGGATAATGGCCCTATTACACTACCCTGAATCAGGGCCTTGAATTAAGGGTGGGCGTGGCCTCTAATTAGGGACGTAAGTTATTTACACTACCCCATCATCATCATCATCATTACAGCCCTTCACAAGTCCACTGCTGAACATAGGCCTCCCCCAAGTAATGCCACAAAGCACGGTCCCGAGCCACCCGCATCCATCGACTTCCTGCATGTCTTACCAGGTCGTCACTCCATCTAGTGGGGGGTCGCCCTACACTACGCCTACCGGTACGAGGCTGCCACTCGAGAACCTTTCTTCCCCATCGGTTATCGGTTCTTCGAGCTATATGGCCGGCCCATTGCCACTTCAGCTTACTAATCCGTTGGGCTATGTCGGTCACTCTGGTTTTACTGCGGATATCCTCATTTCTGAGTCTATCACGCAGAGAAACTCCGAGCATAGCCCTCTCCATAGCTCGCTGAGCGACCTTAAGCGTCCTCATACGGCCAGCAGTGAAGGACCACGTCTCAGATCCGTAAGTCATCACTGGCAACACGCACTGGTTGTACAATCTAGTTTTTAGAGATTGAGGTATACCTGACGAAAAGATATGCCGTAATTTCCCGAACGCTGCCCAGCCGAGTTGAATCCGTCGATTGACCTCTCGGTCGAAGTTGGACTTACCTAGTCGGACTATTTGTCCCAGGTAAACGTATTCGTCAACAACTTCGAGCATAGTGCTCCCAACAACTACCGGCATAGGTGTGACATGGACATTGAACATGATCTTTGTTTTGTCCATGTTCATCTTAAGACCTATCCGTTGGGAGGCACTATTGAGGTCATTGAGCATAGTGCTTAAGTCCTCCAGCGATTCTGCCATAAGGACTATATCGTCGGCAAATCGAAGGTGAGTGATGTACTCGCCATTGATGTCAATACCGTATCCTTTCCAGTCCAGTAGCTTGAATACGTCTTCCAATGCAGCGGTGAAGAGTTTCGGGGATATAACGTCACCTTGTCTTACACCTCTCTGCAGTTGGATAGGTTTCGAGCTCTGGTTCTGTACTCGGATAGCCATCGTAGCCCTACTGTACAAACACTTCAGCACTTCGATATACCGACAGTCAACTTGGCACCGCTGAAGGGACTGTAGCACCGCCCAAATTTCGACGGAATCAAAGGCTTTCTCATAGTCCACATACGCCAGGCAAAGTGGCAGATTGTACTCTTCAGTCTTCTGTACAATCTGCCGCAGGGTATGTATGTGGTCTATGGTACTGAAGCCTTTTCGGAAACCGGCTTGTTCGGGAGGCTGGAAGTCGTCAAGTCTGCGTGCGAGACGATTCGTAATGACTCTCGAAAACAGCACGTAGACGCGGCTCAGAAGGGAAATCGGTCTGTAGTTCTTTAAGAGAGCGTTGTCGCCTTTCTTAAAGAACAAGACCACCGCACTTCTGCTCCACGCCTCTGGAGTAGTGCCACCATGGAGGACGGAATTGAAGAGCTTCTGAAGGACTTCAAGTACCGGTGTTCCACCCGCTTTCAGAAGCTCCGCTGTAATTCCATCCTCGCCTGGGGCCCTGCCGGTTTTAAGGTGCTGGAGAGCCATTCTAATCTCGCTTAGACTGACGTCCGGGATATCATCGGAATAGTGTCGGATAAGACTTGCTCTTGGATCGTTACTTACACTTGCGTGTGGCTCCAACGATGATGTGTACAGCTGCCCATAGAACCTCTCAATCTCACTCAAAATCTCAGGTGTCCCGGAAACGATGTTGCCACACTCAGTCTTCAGCCTTGACAGTTGGCTCTTTCTGGCAGACAGATCTCTGGCAAAGACTTTGGAGCCCTGGTTCCGCTCGATCGCTTCTTTAATACGAGAAGTATTAAAGTTGCGTAAGTCTCGCCGTATGCATTTGGAGATCTGTCTGTTCAGTTGCCTGTATGCTGTCAAATCTGTTGACGATTGCAGCCTCATCTCCCGTCTAACAGCCATGAGATTAAGAGTGTGATCGGAGAGTTTTTGTGTTCTTCTGCGGCGGGTCTTGCAGAACTTAGCTCCGACCGCATGGACAGTTTCCACGAGCTTGTCGTTCATATCGTCCACTGCATTGCAATCTTCTAGGCACTGGAAGCGGTTACGTAACTCGAGCTGAAAGGTTTCGGGATTCTGGATTAGAGCACGAGGGGGACGGAGCGTTGACTTCATTAGACGAGACCTCTCCAACTTAACGTTTAGGTTCAGTGTGCCTCTAACCATTCGGTGATCGCTGCCAGTTTTCACCCTTGCGATCACTGAGACATCACTGAACAGTTGGCGTCTGGTCGTCATAATGAAGTCAATCTCATTTTTTGTCGAACCGTCGGGGCTCGACCAGGTCCACTTCCTGTGGGGCCGCTTCTGGAAGAAAGAGTTCATCATAAAGAGTCCCTCTTTCTCCATAAAGTCGGCCAGCTGCTGGCCCCTTCGGTTCCGTTGCCCTACTCCAAATTTCCCTACCTTCAGCTCACCGCTTTCTCTTGTGCCCAGTTTTGCGTTGAAGTCTCCCATCAACACCGTGTAGTAGGTTTTGGAGGAATGTATGGCTCTGGAAATATCCTCATACATTTCCTCCACCTCCTCATCGGGATGTGCCGAGGTTGGTGCGTAAACCTGAATGACCTTCAGCGAATAACGTTTGGTGATTCTGAGTATCAGGTACGCGACCCTCGTCGACACACTCCCAATCTTTACAACGTTGTTGACGAGAGATTTGTGGACGATAAATCCGACACCTCCTTGGGACAGATGGTCGCCCTCCCGGTGATAGAACAAGTTGCCGGACTCGAGGATTGCCGTGTCCTCCCCCTCTCTTCGGACCTCGGATAATCCAATAATATGCCAGCGCAACTTGTCTACCTCTTCTTCCAGCTCCAGTATATTCTCGTCAGTCCTCAGGGTGCGTGCGTTATATGTTGCCAGGTCGAGTCGTCGTAGGTGGCAACCGAACCTCCACCGGAGGTTCTTAGCACCCCCTGCCCCGCCGTTACCATGGTCGCCACCGTAGCCAGGAATAGCGGGGCCGCCGGGGACTGGGGGCCGTCTGTTTGTGTATTTATTCATTGGGGGGTATTTGCCATAGTTGCCACGCTTGGCGAGCGGGTTGGCAACCGCAGTTTTTTATTACGTCACAGTTGTCATCAGGAAGACGCTGCTGCCCATCTCCTGCCTGTCTCCCTCTGTCGCCTCTTACGACACCCACGGGAAGATATGGGGTAGTGGATATTCTTAACCGCCACTACACGGCAATACACTACCCCACTACCCTGATTTTAGTTTTACGCTCATACTCTACTCTGTCATAGAGATGGCCAAAGTGAAAATAGTACCGATATCTATTGTATCGATAGGTATATTTAAACAGTATCAATATATATCGCGTGATAAATATCAATATATCGTCATGTTTTTCATGATATATTAGGATAAGCCCCAAAATTTTATTACTGGACGTTTTAACGACGGAAAAAACCACGATAATTAATATTAAAGAAAAGAAGAGGCCTCTCCTCCTTTTAAGGTATGGGTGAAAGATCATTTAAAACATAGGGAAAATCACTCAACTGGAGCCAAATGAATTCCAAATACCTGAGAATGGGGGAAGAGTAGTTCGAGGAGCTATTAAGTTTAGTTCCTTATATCGAAAAACGAAATACGGTTTTAAGACGTAAGAGTGTAAGTGATAGGCAAAGATAATTTGTGAATTTAAGATTTCTACATTTAAGTGCGCATATTTGTGTGGGCGCGCATTGTGTTTCAAAGAGTATGTTTGTTTTTCAACAAAATGAATTGTTATTTAGAATTTTATGATAGCTAAGTTATTTAAAAATATTTAAACTATGAAAGAGCTCGTATACCTACATCTTAAAACTAGACTGATTTTGTTTTGTAAAGTCTGCTATATAGCTAGTTTTGTTGTTAAATATAGTTACTTACTAATTAATTAAAACTAAAAAAACATAATTATATAGATACATATACCTACCTACAAAGTTTAGTAATGATAGTTGTCTTAACCCACCATACAGTTAGATAGAAAAACAAAGTAATAAAACGTAATTTGTAAGAAACACAGAAAGAGTAATAACAAGCCAATAGAAATGAATTATCGCTCGGTTACTTCCAAAACCGATCTCTCCACATCTCAACACATACGCACTAAGCGACCGATGCCTGTAGCCGTATTATAAACATACGCAATGCACAATGATATCCAATGTTCACATTACATTGCCTGGCGAGTTTGTCAAAATCGCGTGCGACGCGTATTACGGTAGAACAAAAGCAGCAATGATAATTGTAAAATACGAAAAGTAATAAATGAAAGTTTACAAACGTAAATATCATAGTAAAGTATTCATCTAGATGTAAATTTGTTAAAACAATGATAATAAGTAAATAATCAACTTACCGATGAAATGTTATGCCTTTATAAGTTGAATTACACGTCCTTGATGAGTTTTTACAGCTGATTATGCTGCAGTTCACCATTATAATAATATAAATTTTCACGTACGACGTTCCCCGAGCATATAAATCACAAAATGGTAAATGATGTTCGTCA